AAGAGTACTTCCAGAGAAGATGCCACATCTACCTATGAGACAGATAAGGCAAGTCAAGACGATACCACACTCCGGTACTTAGAAGTTTCGTGGTTACGAGATCATTCTCCCACAATATTTCCTAATGTCATTTGTACTAAATCATTCACTTGTACTCACTAAAGGAGAGCTTGAACCTATGTACTTGTGTAAACCCTTCACAATTAATGAGAACTCCTCTATTCCGTGGACGTAGCCAATCTGGGTGAACCACGTACATCTTGTGTTTGCTTTCCTATCTCTATCCATTTATATATACTTATCCACACTAATGACCGGAGCAATCTAGCGAAGATCACAAAAAGTGACCGTTTTCGCTACCTAGGATCTATCTTGCAAGAGAACGGAGAATTAGATGGAGATCTCAACCATAGAATACAAGCTGGATGGATGAAGTGTAAGAGTGCATCCGGCGTGTGGTGTGACCGTCGTAGGCCACTGAAGCTCAAGGAAAAATTTTATAGGACGGCAATAAGGCCAGCGATGTTGTATGGCACAGAATGTTGGGCGGTGAAGCATCAACACGTACAAAAAATGGGTGTAGCGGAGATGAGGATGCTTCGTGGGATGTATGGGCACACGAGAAAGGATAAGATTGGGAATGAGGATATCCGAGGTAAAGTAGGAGTAGCCAAAATTGAAGGAAATATGAGAGAAAATCGGTTCCGGTGGTTTGGACATGTGCAAAGAATGCCTACTGACGCTCCGGTTCGAAAATGTGACTACGGGACAGAGGTTCAGGGCCGAATGGGTAGAGGAAGACCTAGGAAAACTTTGGAAGAGACCCTAAGAAAAGACTTGAGTACTTGGATCTAACGGAGGACATGACACAAAACCGAGCGCAATTGCGTTCTAGGATTCATATAGCCGACCCCACTTAGTGGGAAAAGGCTTTGTTGTTGTTGTTGTTGTATCTTATGTATTCATTTTTTTATTCCTTTTTTTCTTTTTTTTAATATTTCTAACTTTGAATTTTCTTGTTCTTGATTCCCATCCAGATAATAAGTTTCATAAACAGGTCTTTTTTTATGTATAAGCTCCTTCATCATTTCAATTTTGTTCTCATCACCCCCACAAGCTTGAATTATGAACTCCTCATTTAGTTCCACATCTTCCAAGGGAGCCCCAATAGTAGTAGAAGAACCCCTCCTACACTCATTTATACAAATCAAGCAACCATTTTTTAATCTCCTATACTCATTATAGGAATCAAGCAAGCAATGGAATATTACAAATATGTGTTAATATAATTATATATTATATTATATTTTCGGTATGGTATGGTAACGCCGTGGTAATGGTATCTATTACTAATACCATACCATGAAGATTTGGTACGGTACAATACCGTACCATTACCGATTGGCACAAAATCAGTATGACACGGTTGACAATTCGGTAGGTACGGCAATTTGGCAAAAATATCCACCCCTTACTTCCATCCCCAAGAACCGAAGGTTCGAGGAAGCAAGAAAAATCATCATCTCCTTCTACTGTTGTTTAACTTGGGTTTTCTTCTTCTGCCAGGAGAAAGTGTGCAAAGGAAATCAGAGCAGAACAAATGGAATGCCAAATTGCGAATGACGGATTCAAAAATAAAAATACACACTAATTAACATGGTGAAAAAGAAAGTAAAGTCAAGAGGGAGAGCCGAGACTCGAAGAAAGCTTGGAGTGGAAGAAGGCGTTATCGTTTCTTAAGCAATTCTTGTTATTGTTATCCTATCTTAGAAGTAGTGCCTATATTTTTTTGTGTTTCTTTTTCCTTTTCGAATGAAAACCTAATCAAACAAACTTGCCGTAACCCAATATCAGAATAATCGAACAACTTCATACTTAGTTTAAATTTCTCAGTAATTGAACAATTTCAAAAACTGTAATTGCAAACTTGCATTGTATCCTGATGTAATAAAGAAAATCATAGCTGAAAAAATGGTCATTGTTTTGGCATAGTTTAGGATTTTCGACCGCAGCCAGTCATTCAACATGTGAGATTTGGCCAGTGTAGATGCCATGCTCATCCAAATGCCCAACGTTGATCTGAACAGAAGCGTGGTCCTTGGAGGTGATCAGCCTGTTCGTCGCCGAGCTGCATCCACACACAAACACCACTAAATTTAATCCAAAACCCTCAACTCCCAATCCCAAAACAAAAATCTGCGTTCGTTATATGCCGAGGAGGAGTGCGACAGTGATAACTATAAACTGGGCCTATCAGACGAAATCCTATTGGCCCAAAAATCGGCGATTAAAAATCTTTGTTGGCATTGTATTTTAGAAGATGGGTGATGTTATCCACACACCATTTTTTACTTCAAACATCTCTCTTAATTTTTTGTCGGCAAATTGAATGAATGAGGATGGTCAACGGACGGAAAACAGAGGGTGTGTGGAATGTAAAAAGGGTATGTGAATAGCACCACCCTGGAAGATAATCGTGTGTACAATGTCGTCTCTCTAAAATTAGGTGGGACAATGGCGGTTCCATTAAGGGACCAGTTGGGTTCTAGTCTCCCATGACCCTAAAATACGGGAAGTAACTCAAAAGGTCTTTCATGAACTCCATGTTAGTTTAGCATGAGACTTGGTAGTACCCACCAAGTACTCGATAAAATACATGTTCAGCATATATCGACAAGGCTCGAAACGTGATACTTGATGGGCCTCAACATCATTATTCAACATATGTTAGCAAGGCTCGACAACATAGCTCGACAAAAGTTGATAGGGACACCAAATTCTTGACAAAATGCCTCAGTGACAGAACTTCACAATAATAAACTAAACTCGATCAGTCTTAAAAAAAGTTTTGAGTTTTTACACTATGACCTACATCCAAAGCAAAATCTGGACATACACGTAGTCTGACGGGCGAAACCTCAAAATCTGCCTTGTTTTGAAACAAAAAAAAATGGTGTGTGTGTTTTTAAACCAATTTCATCATTTTGTTGTCAAACATTACCAATTTGACATTTCAAATGACCAAATTAACTAAATTCGGTATACAATGACCAATATAGATTTCGATTTCAATCCAAAACATAGTGATCAAAAAGTTTTTAACCCTTGACGTAAATTTCTTATAAGCATGGTAAGCATGGAATTTACCATGGATCATTACTTATTCATTACCTTATATTTAAGCCTTGTACGGAGTTTTTGCCATTTAAGACTTGTGCTGGAGATTTCCGAACTTATTAAATTTTGATTTACAAGTTGAGAGATGATAAAGAGATTTGCTCAAAAATATAATTATTACTCTCTGTCATATTATATTTTTTGTATAGTGTTTTATAATATTGGTATAGAAATTAACGTTAAACTGTAAGGTAATAGAAAATTCATAAAAAGTTTCATTTTAAGAGAATCTCCTTAGTATTTCTCAAACAAATTTGTTGGCTTCAGTCTTTTGATTTGAATGTTTGAATTCAATATTATGACTCCATTCTTTCTATCAGTTATTGCAGCAAATCAATCTAATCACTTGACAGATTTTATATATTCTCCAACAACCCAAACTCATTTGAAAATGGTTACACACATCTTTTAACCCACGTAATATTTCATCATCATTTCATCGTCTGACTTATGACGTTTTCAACATATTTTTTCACGTGTTTTTTTTTTAACGTTGAAGCATGTATTTTCGTCCCTTTGAACACTCCATTCATTACGATGCTTTGTTAATTCCAAAAACACGAAAATTTCGATGAAAATATCGGGATATTATCGATATCGATAAAAATTGAATAAAAATCACGGAAATTGTAAGAAAAACTTGAAAATTTTTATTGAAACTTTGCAGGATATTTATTTAGTCAATTATCTATTAGTTTATCACAAAAAATTGGAAGGAAATGCATTGCATGATAGATATAACTGATTTAAGTTGATTATATAGCGAGCTGGCAAACATTGTGAGTGTATAAAATATGTAGTAATTAATGAAAGAAGTTTAAACACACCATAATCATTTATATATAATGAATTGGTACAATATTACACTTTATACATTGCATGGTAAGATACATGATTGACTTAGCAAGGTCTAAAATATCGATGATATCGGAAATATCGGTAGTCCAAAAACACAGAAATTTCAATGGAAATATCGGAATATTATGGATATTTTAAACCATGGGTGAAACTAAAACGGGTGGACCGAGCTGTTCCATGGGACGAGTTTTAGGTGAATTTTCGTTCCACCTTACCCCCTGGAACGACTCGTTCCACATCTGTGGAACACAAAATTATAACATCTCCGTCGTCTACTTCTTTCTCCTTGTTTCCATTCAATGACATCTTTGCTCCCTTTCCGTCCCGTCCCGTCCTGTCCCGTCTCGTCTGCATACCAAACGATACCTAAGGTACTGTTTGGTACGTGAGATGAGACAGAACAGAGTCAGACGAGACGTTCCGTCCCACGTTGGGTGCGCCTAAAAAGGGTGAAAGCTGTTTTACGGGATGAATTTTGGGTAAATTTTTTTTCCACTCATCCCATCTCGTTCTACATCCGTAGGACACAAAATTATAACATCTCCGTCTTCTTCTTCTTCCTCCTTATTTCCATCCAATGGCATCTTTACTCCCTCTTCATTCCGTCTCATCATGTCCTGTCTCATTCTGTTCCGTCCCATCTCGTCTGCATACCAAAGGATACCTAAAAGCAATATAAATGTGTCCACCAACCCAAATTAAGAGGAATATAAAAGGCAGTTTTATTAATTTCCCAAATTAAATGTACAAATAAAGTCAAAAGAAGCGTGATTAATGGGTGACCATAAAGTCATTGACATTCTTACAAAGATGATCAGTAGAGTGGCATTTCCCCGTAATTACTCCCAAACCCAGTGGCATTTTATCTCCAACGGTCACTAAGTTTATAAACCCCCAAACTACTCTGCAAAACCACTGCCTCTCAGAAACTTGAGATTTTAGACAAAAACCGAAAAAAAAAAATAATGGGAAGCTCAAGCTCAAGAACTCCATCACTCTTTGGCTGCATCTTCATCTGCGCAGTCCTGGCCGCCCATTTGGTAGTGATTGCTTCAGCTTCGGCCGTTGATTTCAGCGGGGGCCACCAGCTGGGCGACCTGAGCTGGGCTTCGACGAGATCGGCGGCGGGGGGACTAATAACTGACGAGGACGAGGATGCGGAGATGCAGATGGACTCGGAGATCAACCGGCGCATCTTAGCCACGAGCAGGTACATTAGCTACGGTGCGTTGAGGAGGAACACTATCCCCTGCTCGCGACGTGGCGCGTCCTACTACAACTGCCGACCTGGGGCTCCGGCAAATCCCTACCGTCGCGGCTGTAGCTCCATTACTCGCTGCAGGCGCTAATTTCAATTTTTATTTTTTATAATTTAATTTCCACCTTTTTTTTTTGTTATTATTTAAAAAAAAATGATATAATTAATGGGTTTAGTTGGTGATTGTGTGTTAAATACCTGAAGAGATTATTGTTATATTGTAATGTTAAAATACCAATTTGCCACTCATTTTTGTTTATTTAATTATTTATTTGTGCATTGTTGGTCATCTATTTTTATATTTTAATTGGTTTTCCGTTTTCGCATTTTTATTGGTACCCAGATGATTATTTGTGATGAAAATTAGAGAAAATAATGATATTATTTGTGATAAAAACTCGGATTCGAGTAAACGCGTAATGGGTTGTAAAGGGCATTTGCGGGATGTGACTTTTTGGAAGGCAATAACGTGGTGTGTGATGTGTATCTTGCAGTGTACAACTGTCCTGGTATGGTGCAGACAAGAATCTAACAACATGATTGGATTTTTCATAAAAGTAAATGAGACTTTGATGCAAATCTTTAATTTCCGCTGTGGTTTTTTTTAGAGGAAAACTAATGAAAAGGGTTTGAAAACTTTGAGTTTTAATGATAAGGACAAAATAAAGGGTAAAGTGAATAGTACCAGGATTGATTTTTTAGTGTAAAAATATGGTTTTTCGTTAAAGTGAACAGTACCGGGTGCTTTTCGTTAAAGTTCCCTTTTTTTAGTGGCATATTTTTGAGATTGTGTATATGTTCTGACGTTGGCAGTGAGAATAGCCAAATCTTGCCCGAAATTTATTTTTGCAAAAAACAAAAAAATGATGGGAAATTACCAAATTTGGGTGGATATTAATTAAAAGGTAGGTACTTAATTTGTTGGGAAAATGTTAGTATGAAAGGTAATGCAACCTTCACCAAAAGGAATTTATTTGTTCATACCAGGCAATTTGACTTCATTTGTTCATCTAATTAGTTATCAAGAGAAATGTTTTCTTTCAAAAACAAACACAAACAAACATTTGATATAAATAACTGTTATCAGCACTCTAAAATAACTATCCCGTATTTTGAACTATTAATAACAGCTCTTTTTATCCATTAAATTTCAAAAGTAGGGCAACAACTGGACGTTGTAGCTTTAATGCTCAGTAATACTAAAGGATGTTTAAATCATTAAATTTGATTTCCACGACTTTTAAATAATTATACGCTCCATTGAAGAAAACTGGATCACAATTAAAATTGTTATTGTCAAAGCATTAATCATATGATGATAGTGTTTGCCAACGGTCACAAAGCCAGCGCATTCTAATTGGCATTTTAATACGATGGTATGGAAATCTCATTGCCATCCACATGCAGTAAAAGCACTCGAGGGAGGTCGAACTCGGTGATAGTGAGAGCACACAATTGTCAATTATGGCGATGTTTTAAGCCATTTGTGAGATGCAATACAATCTAGGGGTGTGATATTCATACACCCCATTTTACTTCTCACACATCCTTCTAATTTTCGGCTGTCGGATCGGATGAATTGAAGAAAACCAACAAACTGAAATTAACAAGGGGTGTGTGAGAAGTAATTTGGGGTGTGTGGATAGCACACTCCTACAATCTAATCAAATCGACACCTCATATGTCTTTGTCGCATTAGCCTTCCATAAACCACCATAAGCATAAGAGGAAATAGTAGCAATGGTACTTTAATGTTAACCTAATTAGAGTAATGGTCCCTCAATTAAAATTCATGATTATTAATCTCTTAATTCCTTAAAACGTGCAGTTATGGTCATTTTCGTCAACTCCCTCAAAACTTCTGTCAAAATGAGTCATGTTAGAAGAATAATTACTGCAATTGGTTTAAAAGTTCAAGAAACATTGCTTCAGTTGGATTAAAGTTGATGGACAATTTCTCCAATTGGATTAAAGTTGAGGGACCAATTTTACAATTTTTCATTTAGTTTTTCTTATTTGCTCCTTGATTCTAACCTCATGTGCATGGCATGTGACTTATTTTGATGAAAGTTTTGACGAAGTTGACAAAAATAACCATAGTTACACGTTTTAATGAGTTAATGGACCAATAATCATGAATTTTTAGTCAATAGACTATTGCTCCAATTGGGTTAAAGTTAAGAGATCATTGCTACAATTTTCTTTAAGTATCAGCATTTGGGTATCAGGACCACAATAATCAATTACGTTATGGTTGAAAAGTTAAAAACCAAGATTACATTATTCGTTTAGAATACCGTCACAGTAACATACCACGTCTGGATAAGTCCTACAAGTTGTGTGTTAGAAAAGAGGATAGTCCAATAGTATTATAATAAGGGGGATTCGATCGTGTGAAGCACAACTAGGTCAAGTACTAAGAATTACGCTAGACACCTCAAGCCAGGGTTTTCAAATATAAATGGGGAAAATTCAGGCAAACGAACCAGGAATTCGAAATTTGAAGACGGATGGTAATAAAAAGGGAATCCTACATTGCTGTCAGAAAATGAGAATCAAATTTGGTCTTGTTCACAAATCCATGGAGTATGGTTTCGAACCAAAAACAGCAAAGCGAACACTTAAAATGAGGCAGCAGACACATCCTATCATTTAAAAAACAAGTAACAACACAGCATGACATAGTTACTCCTTGGCTGAATCATCCGCTGACTTGGGCTCTATATTTGGCTTCAACGAGGCTGAAGGAGATGGCGATCCTTCCACTCCCATCTCAGCTCTGAGGTCATTGATGCTCTGCTCCAGCTCGTCGATCCTGCTGCCCATCTCATCAAGTGCATCAAGGTCAAGGAAACAAGAACCAGCTTAATCCAAAGCAATGCGATCTATGAAGTTACAAGTCCCGCGCAATGTGCATAGAATAAGTCATATGTGATAAACAAATGGATAAGGGTCAAACAAACATGCTTCCCACAACAATTAAAAGAACATATCTTACCTTACTAATCAAGTCTAAATATGACAGGTATCACCAATCACAAAGTCCACCAACTGAAGAATTTGACAGACAAAAACTAAAGATGATTGGATTAATCATAATCTAAAACATTCCTCAAGATTCTTATGTGATGTTCTCATACGCTACCAAGCAAGCAGAACAGAAATCTAGGACAGCCAAATGGACCAAATTCAAATGCCAGCACCAACTTAATAATTTTGCTCTCTAATATCATAAAACTAAGCTACAATAAAATACTTTGTAAAATCAGAGTAGAATAATATAATGATCAATTTTGAAATTAGTAAGCCAAAGAACAAAAGGATATTCTTTGTAATGATGGAGTCGGACATTGTCTGGAACCTGGATTGCTGCAAATCTCAAAACATAAGCCACACAGTCCATTGAACTTCATTTCAAATAAAACATCACAAATGAATAACAAACTCACCATCTGTTGAAGAAGATTTTGTACCTGAAAAAAAAACGAAAGCTTCAGCAAAGGGTGGGACTTCAATTGCAGTATAAAATTCTGCTATCATACTACTACGCAAATGGATTGACAATATTAATGTACACATATGGCCATCAAAGCCACCAAGTATGTGGAGTAAACGCAATAATTGAGAAACCAAAAAAAAAAAAAAAACCCTTAACATTGTAACATATGATAGTTTTATGAATAGTGGGAAAACCAACAAATTAATCATATTAACTAACTGAATATATCTTCATCATTCAATTCTAAATATATTTCTGCCGTCAAGATTCCCATTACTTAGAGCCACATACTCATCAGCCTCAACATGCTCAATACTCATCCATATGGGCAATTAGAAGTAGTACAAATTAACATGAATAAACAAAAGAAAGTAGAACCAGAACTCACAAAAGCAGTCATATCAGCAGTGCTTTGTTTTGGGTCATCTGTATCATCCTGCCAAAAAGAAATGGATGAGCAACTTCATCAAATTGTCATCTATTGATGAAATATATAGTAAGTTCATATGAAAGCAATTTTATCAGGAAGAAACCATTCTCAGCTGACAAATGTGAAGGGACTGTAGTTTAACTGCTTCTATTTTGATCCCCAAAGGCAACAAAAGGGCTGCATGGTATGGGCTCTTTTATGCCCAACTGGACATGTCACTGACATGCAAGCCTAAATCACGCTCCAAACACACCTTCACATCATATATTGTGCATATTATATTTCATCTTCATCCAACAAGTTGACGAAGTGACCTTGACATCCCATGTACCAAAAGAAAGACGAGCTCAACTCCACCTTTGTATAACATTCCAAAATTCACCAAAAAAATCTCCGTCAACCAAAGAATACATTTGTGTACTGAAACTCTTACAAAGATTATTGAAATTCTTACCAACATGCATATCAATGCAATCGTCTTAAACCATAACATGGTAAACTTGTTTCACGACTCTCTAGTCCTTACTCAACTCCACCCTTGTATAACATTCCAAAATTCACCAGAGGCACACATGCTCCAAATCTCCGTCAACCAAAGAATACATTTGTACTCTTACAAAGAATATTGAAATTCTTGCAACATGCATATCAATGCAATTGTCTTTAACCATAACATGGTAAAAGTACTTGTTTCACGGTTCTCTGGTCCTTATGTGTCAAGCTTCCACAATGAACATCCATTATTTTCTCCATACACATGCATGCATTATGAATAAGTTTGCAGAATCTGTATCAACACTCTGAGGAAGACAATGGTGTATCTCAAGCCATTGACCCACACCATTGTAGGGTCATCCAGCCTTTACAAGATCCTCCTTACTAAAGTAGTTAAAGACGTGTGCAAGACACTACTGAGCTTCTCTCATTACTTTTGGGACCCCCCCCCCCCCCACAACACCACTTAACAAGTCTTCTACTAGTTACAATTCAATGAATACCCGATAAGCTAGTAAGATTGAGACAAACCCAAACGATCCAACGAAACACCATATAGTATTAGGTTCCTATAGTTAAGCACTACCATATTATTTCAATTTAACATTGTAATTTCGCATCATCAAGGAATGCCAAATGTACGTTTGATGAACTGATAGTGGGCAGCTGAAAGTGAACTTCATCACAGCATATAGACATGCTAGCGAAAGTCGAAGTACAAATTGGTGCATAACAAAAAGAGAAAATAATCAGAAGCATAACATCAGTGCTGCTTCCAAGACCCTCCTTCGAGGACTGGAATTGCTATACTATACAAAATGAATCTTCAAATTAAAGATTTCAGAAACAATGCAGATATTTCAAAACACAACATAAGTTATTATCTTCACTAATTTTCTCGAATTTTCTCAGCAACCAAACAGAATACTGAATAAGAAACAAAAAAGACTCGAAAAATCGAAAAAGTTCAAAGTTTCAAGGCAGTGAAACAGAACAAGCTTACTAAAATTGAAATATACAGCATCGAATAACAGATCGGAGTTCATTAGCACGGTATGTTCTGGTAAATAATAATATAATTTTCAAAACCCTAAGGGATTCAATCTGCATATGATCAAAATCAGTGAAAAATACGCAATTCGTGGGGATAAAATTTGACGAGTAAAAGGGAAATTACCATGTTCGAAGTCTCTGTTGCGAAGGTTTTGGAGACCCTCGGTTGTGCAGGGCAGTGAGTATACAGAGTGGAGAAAGGTGTGTGTATACTGTGTGTGGTATTTTTGGTTGCAACTCGCAACTTGGAAGAGGAGGGGAACTGGAACACAAAGCCTTGTGAAGCTACCAAATTACCATTTTGTCCCTACTGCTTATTATTCAGTTTTTTTTTTTTTTTTTTTTTTTTATCCGGGGCGAATTTTACTAGTGGTATTTTTCTTTGTAAAAATAGCAAAGAAAAAGAAAAGCAAAAAATTTTATGCTCAAGTGAAAATAACCATTTTAATTCAAGTAAATGTAGTCATTTAGTACTATAGTATAATAGTATTCATCTTCACTTGTAAGTGAGAGGTCTTAGGTTCAATTTTAGTCAAATGGCGAATTTGAACTACATTATTACTAGTTTATTGTGAGGCTAAGCCCATCTCATCCCCTTAGTATAAGTATTTTTATATAGGCTAACGTAGGGGTGAGTTCGGTTTCATTCGGTTCGGTTCAATTTTCTTTCAATTTTTTTCGATTTGGTTTTATTCAGTTCGGTTTCTGTACAGTTTAGGGTTTTTTTTGTTTTATAAACCTTGATTTTTTTAATATGGAATTTAGAAAAGAGGTTTGCATTAGTAGACTAATAATAAGAAAATGGGGAAAGTGGGAATGTGGGAAGGTAGTTGTACGTATACAAGATCATATAAACCAATTGTATTCTATCAACAACCTTAATTGCAAAGAAAGATGATCACTGTATCCATTCAAAAAGAAAACAAATAGATAAACTTTTCCAAAACTTTCCTTTATAACCAATAGAATATCTTCCCTAATTGAACCAAGTATGCTCCTTGATAAAGCCCTAGGCTTGGTTTCAAACTTGGCAACAAAGTTTCACAAAAGAAACATCACGGGCATACATTCATAAAGTGTAAAGGGATTTAGTTTGGTTCGGTTTGATTCGGTTTCCGAACCTCCAAAACCGAAACTAAACCAATAAGGTTTGGTTCAATTTTTATTTCAATTTTTTATTTTTCGGTTTCGATTCATTGTTCGGTCCCATTTTTCGTTTTTCGGTTTTTTGAACCCACCCCTAGGCTGATGTATGGAATTATTTAATTCAAAATGTGTAGAGTAAAGTAGAAACCACTTATGCTAATAAGTGTTTCCGCTAGAAATGCGTTTTACTATAAACATGTTAGGAAAAAAATAAAATAAATACCTAAATGCTTCCCAAAAGTACTTTTCCAGAAAACACTTATAGGACCTAAAATCACTTTTAAACTTTTATATCAAACATATCAACAACCCTTTTGGTTGTAGGAAATTAATTTTAGCCCCTTGAATGCAATCTCAAACCTGCCCTCATTGTTCTCCTCATTCCTCATGGGACTCTCAGCATGGCTTGTTTGGGCCGACGGCGGATTCCATGCACAGTCCAATGCGTTGCTCAAAATTCATTGAGCATTTTGTAGGATCCTGTTGTGCTCCGGATTGGGGCTGCTTGGCTTGGACAATTCCTTTGTTTGGTGCATTTTGGAGTTCTTTTCGTCTGCTATAAAGTGCTTTCGGCGTGTGAATCCATTTGCCAAAGATGTTGTAAAACCTTGGGTGGCTTGGGTGGCTTGGGTGTCTTGGATTTTGATTTGTACACACCAAATTATGATCATGGTTAGGTTTTAGGATTTTGGGGAAGAAATCTTGTCATGAATCGTCGTATATAAATATGCGGCTGGCTTAATTACGCGATACAATGGAAAAAACTCTATGGTGCCCTCGGGAAGATATCTTGTTCAAAATCGTCGTATATAAGAAAGCTAGTCGCGTAATCTTTTATATGCTAGTCGCTTAAACTTTGTTAGATACATGTTGTATACAATGGTTGTATGCAACAATATATCTATCCTAACTAAGGTATAAAATATCGATGATATCGGAAATATCGCTAGTCCAAAAACACGGAAATTTCGATGGAAATATCGAGATATTATCGATATCGATAAAAATTGAATAAAAACCACGGAAATTGTAAGAAAAACTTGGAAATTTTTATTGAAACTTTGCATGATGTTTATTTAGTCAATTATCTATTAGTTTATCACAAAAAATTGGAAGGAAATGCATTGCATGATAGATATAACTGATTTAAGTTGATTATATAGCGAGCTAGCAAACATTGTGAGTGTAGAAAATATGTAGTAATTAATTAAAGAAGTTTAAACACACCATAATCATTTATATATAATGAATTAGTATAATATTTTACACTTTATACATTACATGGTAAGATACATGAGTGACTTAGCAAGGTCTAAAATATCGATGATATCGGAAATATCGGTAGTCCAAAAACACGGAAATTTCGATGGAAATATCGGGATATTATGAATATTTTAGACCATGATCCTAACAGGTGTAAAATAACGCATATACAAATTCGTGTATTTATTGTAGTTTGCAACACAACAAAGTGTAAACTTTGTTTTAATAAAACTTGGTGCTCCGAACTAGGCAATACTCTGGGGTTTTTAACCATTAGTTTTTTGGTGTGTTGTCCACACATTAATTTTTACCGTTTACACAATTTTTGTCATTTGAATATCTTCAATTTATCAGATTTAACGATTGAAAATTGAGAGAATTGTGCAATAGAACCACCCTCGCTTTTATGAGAACATGTACTCTAATATTTGTCCATAATTTTTTTTTTTAATGAAATTATCAATGTTGTAAAAATTTTGGAAGAAAATTTAAAGGTTTTCTGTACATCGATGCCATAGCTCACTTCCCCAGAGTACGTGAACGTTTTTTAATTAGAATAATTCAGAGGGAGAGGGAGTAACTTCGATCTTAAACCACATTAACAAACGAAGTAGTGTGACAACTAATTCAATTCATAGCTCAAGACATTAAAAATATATTAAATGCTACCCCATAACTCCTACGCTCAATTCCTTATTTTTAATATTGGGAATGTATAAAGGGAGCAGTGACATTATTTTTCTATATAATTTTTTAAAAAGGTTTTGTGTGCCTTATTCCATAAATGTATTTTAACGACCCGAGACCCGAGTCATTTATATTTTAGAACAATATTTATAGATCATTCTTGAAAAACAAAAGATAAATTTAAAATCATTAAAACATTCATTTGCATTGAAAAAAATTAATGAATACGGTCCTAAAAAGAAATCATAAATCCTTAATCCAATAATTATATGATTTCAAATTTGGGTGATTTTTCGTAGACCTGATCTTTAAGAAATGACCTAAAAGATAAACGGTTTGAATAATTTAATTACTTTATGGAGTGATCCTCATAAAATATGTGTAAAAAATTGTATAAAAAACATAATCTCACAGATCTATTCCCACTTCGATATTGTGGGTACCCTCACCTGAGGTTTCTACATCCAATGCCAAAAGATTTTTCAATATAATAAAAACATGAATTGAGTAAAAAGATTAGTGAAGAGAAAAGATGATTAAAAAGTGCCAACTCTTAATAACAGGTAATAAGAAACTTCCACTAGAATTTATATAATTATTTTATTGCATTACTTTATACTATTTTATATTATAGAAGAAATTTAAATACAGACGTCGAGGTTGAATTAAAAAATAAAACCTAATCATCAAAACAATTCAGCGCTTGCAAGACTAGAATTATCTTAATTATCTTAAGTTAGAAAGTGAGTGAAGTCGCGTAGTGCTTGGCAGCTGCCAGATGTAGATATGCAATGGAAAGAATGATCAATGTGAAAACTCGGTTTTGTCTTCACATCAGACACATATTTAGCTGTTAACTCGTGTATTATTAGCTGTTATTAGAACGACACACGCGGATATCCATGTGATGTGATGTGATGTGATTAATCTATGTATCTACGTGAGAAGAGGATTTTTTTTCCAAATCCACTTTACGAGAATCCTAAGAAATTATATTCTAATCGTTAATCGTACATCGTGTCGTCAGTTTTGTCAAATATTATTTGTGTTAAATTTTAAATAAAAAAATCAAATAATTTCTGACTGTAAAATACAAGATGAATGACTAAGATGTGAAAATCTCTTAGATCTGCACAAAATGAATCTGAATAAGATCGAATTCCATCTACGTGATGTCAAACTCGAGTGGCTCACAACACATGCTTTGGTTTTCTTCACTTAATTTGGAGTTTGATTTGCATCACATTACGTCAAATTGTCAACTGAACCCTCGTGATCTCTACGTAAACAAATGTGGCCTCATGATTTCTTTCGCTGAGTCTCGCTTTCATGGTTAATTACAAGATTTTAAATAATGGATATTTCTTGTGGTTGCATACGAGATTTTAAATAACAGATATTTTGAGTGGTTACATGCAAGGTTTTAAATAGTGGATATTTTCGAAAGATATTTTTTATATTTTATAAAAGCATACCATTATACTAAAAAACATATAATATATTCATCTATTGAAATATAAACCTAAAGAATGTGTATTGCTCTATTAAAATATAGTATTCAAATCACCAAAACGGAAAATAGAGTATTTTATTTTTGCTCAGCACCTAACAAAAGTAAGAAAAATACGAAATTATAAAGTGTACTGTCCAACAAAAACAAGAAAACACAGTCGTTTCGTTTTAAAAAACAAAGACAGTAATTGTTAGATTTAATTCAACCACGCAAAAGTGGAAGTGCATTTAATTGTTAGATTTAATGCAACTTATGAAATCAATAATGATCACCCAATTTGATGCTTCTCTTTTGATAAACTTAATTTATGGCAATTTTTTAGGTACTATATATAGTGGTTTTCTTATATATGTATATACTACATTGTTGAAAAATGAGAATGAAATACGATTTAAGTCACAGTATGAGTCGATTATAATAATTTAATATGAAACTCACTAAGCATAAGACATCTTAAGTGGGAAAACAGCTTATTACATGATATAAATATTAATTAAATTCCTATCATTAAATTAAACAAGAAATCATTGGAACTCTATTTCTAGACGAAACGATCCGGTTTGATTATAATATTGGCACAAATATCAAAGAGTATATTTAAAGCTTCTTAATTCCATAAAACTTAGACACGACATAAAAGGTTAATTTGGCTAAACTAATTTTCATCGTACAAATGGATCAAAGGGTGAGAAATGCACGAGAATAACCAAACTCAAAGGAATACGAGGGCGCTCCAATGATACAAAAACTCCATTTCTCATGAAAATATTAAAGCTTCGCGAATTAGAATATGAGGATTTTTACACATAGAATGTTGAATATAACGAGTCCCGACCAAGTCGACCGCAGAGTATTTTTCCCTCCAACGTGATGACATGCGAGAAGAGCGTAAATAAAAAAATTACAAATAATTTCAGAAAATAAGGAAACTTGTCAGAAGCCATACATTTCTGATGTTCTTTCCCCCAGACGAGCACCGACGTTTGTCGTTCTCACTAGTCACTTCTTTAAAAGCTCACCCCTCTAAACGCCCACCATTTCCCCCATATTTACAACCCTAACCTCCTTCAAAATTACAAAATCCTGCGGGCTGAAATCGGGCAGCCTCAAAAGCTCCAGTTTCTCCCGATCGACCTTCCAGTTCAACTTGGGCGAGTCAGAATGCTGGACCGGTTCTTAGGGCCTCGCCGGGCCCGTCAGATCCAGAGGGCGCTGCGGCACGGAACGGTGACTTTTCTGTGCTTGTTCTTAACCGTCGTCGTCCTGCGCGGCACAATCGGCGCCGGGAAGTTCGGAACACCAGAGCAGGACTTCAACGATATCCGCGAACGCTTCTACACTCACAACCGGCGCGTGGAGCCCCACCGAGTGCTCGAGGAAGCCACCCCCGAAACCAACCAAAAAGACGCCGACCCGGCCGGCCAGTCCAACAACTATGCCGAGTTCGACATATCCAAAATCCTCAAAGACGAACCGGCAACTGACGACGAGAAGCGGGACCCGAACCAGCCCTACAGTCTCGGCCCCAAAATATCGGACTGGGACGAGCAGAGGTCCGATTGGCTGAAGAAAAACCCGGGTTTCCCCAATTTTGTCGGACCCAATAAGCCCCGGGTCCTGCTCGTAACCGGGTCGTCGCCCAAACCGTGCGAAAACCCGGTCGGCGACCACTACCTATTGAAATCGATCAAGAACAAAATCGACTACTGCCGCCTCCACGGGATCGAGGTATTTTACAATTTTGCCCTTCTGGACGCGGAAATGGCCGGGTTTTGGGCCAAGCTGCCACTGATCCGGAAGCTCCTCCTGTCCCACCCGGAGGTGGAGTTCCTCTGGTGGATGGATTCCGACGCCATGTTCACCGACATGGCGTTCGAGGTCCCCTGGGAGCGATACAAGGATCACAATTTCGTTATGCACGGATGGAACGAGATGGTGTACGATGACAAGAACTGGATCGGGTTGAACACAGGGTCGTTCCTGCTCAGAAATTGCCAGTGGTCGCTCGACATTCTGGACGTCTGGGCGCCGATGGGTCCGAAGGGGAAGATCCGGGACGAGGCGGGTAAGGTCCTAACCCGGGAGCTCAAAGGCCGACCCGTTTTCGAGGCCGACGATCAGTCCGCCATGGTTTATATATTAGCGAAAGGGAGGGACACTTGGGGGAAGAAGGTGTATTTGGAAAACGGGTATTATCTCCACGGTTATTGGGGGATTCTGGTGGACAAATACGAGGAGATGATTGAGAACCACCACCCGGGGCTGGGCGACCACCGGTGGCCGCTGGTGACGCATTTCGTCGGGTGCAAGCCGTGCGGGAAGTTCGGGGATTACCCGGTGGAGCGGTGCTTGAAGCAGATGGACCGGGCATATAATTTTGGGGATAATCAGGTGCTGCAGATGTACGGGTTCGAGCATAAGTCGCTGGGGAGTAGGAGAGTGAAGAGGGTGAGGAATGAGAGTAGTAATCCCCTGGAGGTGAAGGATAAGCTTGGATTGCTGCACCCTGCTTTCAAAGCTATCAAGCCATCATCATCATCTTCCTGATGTTCTTTTTTTTTGCTTAATTTTTGTTTTTTTTTAATATTTGTTGGGATTAAGTTAATAACACAGTTAATTTGTAATTCACTTTTGATGGTTTTTGATTCGTGTATTTTTGGGAGGAATGCATCTATAGAGATTATGTGAACGTAGTGTTTGTTTACCAATTTTAACACTTCATAAATGCAGTGTCCTAAATCTAATAATTCACATGTTATAAGTGAGCGACAGGCAAATTTACACTTAAAAGAGTATAATGCAAACAAACGTACACCGTTATAGTAAGAATTTCTATACAACATGAACGTTATTGTGATAGCAATTCAAGTCAATGGCATACTGGATTGTAGGTTTGGTTGTGTCTTTTGATGTAGAGAGGTAGGGTGTTGGGTTTTAGTTTTTGCTGTTTGATAATGTATTACATGCATAAAATATGCATATTCGTTCTTGAATGAACTGGTAACACCATGTTGCGGCTTTACAGTTACGAACAAAATTGACCAAGTAAAGAATCTCCCTTGTTCAAAACACCAATTACTCTAATTTGCAACAAGTTCGTAACAATTTTAACAGTGACACAAACAAAATTTACCAAATAGAGAATCGCCCTTTTGTCAAAACACCAATTGCTTTAATTTTACGTGCTTAACTTTACTTATTCAAAGTTTTTGGGCTATCATTCCCGACCCGGCCCGATACAATGTATTGTTTTAGTGGCGGTGGGTCCAGCCCACGGACATCCCTTGGGTCGACAACCGAATCCAAACCTCTCAAACACCCCACGTCATCACCAGCACAACGAAGACGTCAGGACGTGTTCCCCGTTGGAACCTTTCACTGAAGAGTCAATAGTGTGTGTGAGCTCTCCCTCTCAAAGCTCGACTCTCCTCAAATCTCGCTCTCTCACTATAAAAGCCCAACAGCTCTTTATCTTTCTCCTCCTCCTTTTTTGCTCTGGCGGCTCTCCAAATTCTCCAATCCCTTCCTCCCTTCACTTTCTCTCTCTAGTAAACCCTAATTTTCTCACTCTTCCTCCACTGTCTTCGAATACCAGTCGCTGCCCCTTCTTTTTTTCCTTTTTTTTTCTTTTTTTTTTTAATTTAAATTATTTAGTTTAATTAATATTCCGATTGAGCTTGGAGAAGGCGATAATGGAGGGCTCTGTAGCAGAAACGGCGAAGAAGCAGCAGGTGTTTGCTTTGGCATCCGCCTCCGAGCTCGCTTCGTCGTCGTCTTCTTCTACTCTTGCGCCGGCGCTGGCTCGGTTCAGCGCCGAAGACGGAGTTGCAGAGCTTCGGTTTCAGCAGGAGGCCGAGTCCGTTGCTCGTCTCAATGTCGATCTCCTAACTGCTAAGGTTTGGTTTTGATTTGGAGTATGCTGTTTTAGTTTAGCTTTCTAAGTTCAGAAGTATCAAGTTTTTTTTTGGTTGGCGAGAAAGTGAAGGAAGATAAAATCTCATAAAAAAGAAAAAGTATTAAGTTTTGTTTGGATGCCGAGAAAGTGAAGGAAAATAAAATCACATGAAAAAGAAAATCTAGTCACAGTTTACTCTGTACGTGGTGTGTGCTTACTGCTTTGAAGATTTAATCATACATAGATATATGAGTATGCTGATTTTTCTCCGTAGTAGAATATTTGATACAATGTTGTAACTCGGTCTGTTGTTTGATTTTGGTATGTGTTTTCCGTCTGCAGCTATTCAAGTTAGGTCCGGTGCAGTCAGTTTGCATAACGGAAGGTTCTGATACCGACAAAGAGGTAATCGAAATCATTCATCTTTACGCGTTTGCATTTTGATTATTTTACTTTGCAAACTTTCACGGTGCCAAATATGTATCATAGCGGATTTTCACGTTGATTGTACTTTTTTGTGCAACATTGTACGTTGATTGTACTTTTCTGTGCAACATTGTACGTTGGTTGTACTTTTATGTGCAAAATTGTTATACGGTTCATTAAATTTCTGTCAGATGTTTGTTTCCGTTAACATTGCTTTTCTTGAACCAGAAATCGTATTCAAGGGGAGTCACTATTCATTTTAATAATGAGGTGGACAGTGGAGCCTTCCATCATGCATTTGAGCAATGGAAGAAGGACCTTGTTGATCAAGGTGCTGTTCCAGAAGTTTACTTACGACTATTTTAACTATTTCTTTTGTTTATGGATGAACTGACCGAAGAAGTCCGAAATGAATATCGTTGCACATCTAGAACATAGCTATACTGTTGTGACATGATTTAAGTTTGTCTTATGAGTCCTTCCATACAAATACTCGTATACTTTGACTGTCTTGCTCCTTGTCGTGCAGCGTTGCATGCTTGTCAATTACTCTGCTTTTGTTTACTCTTGCAGGACAAAAATTACCAAATGGAGAACTATCATCTACCAAAAGCAAGTTTGACGACAAAATAGAGCCATCTTCTGCTAAAATGTATTTCCATTACTATGGACAATTGCTGCATCAACAGAACATGTTACAAGATTATGTGAGGACAGGTTCGTTCACTAGATATACTCTCTTGATCATTTTCAACTTCACGGTTATTTGAATTTGGATCATCGAAGTTCTCTTGAGCTTTAAAATCAACACTGTAAATTTATACCAAATTTGTTAGTTTGCAGTAAAAAGTGATATGGGTTGATGTTGAATATGTTAGTGATGTCCTATTTATCTTTCTTCAGGAACCTATTATGCTGCAGTCATAGAAAATCGTGTGGATTTTAATGGTCGTGTGGTTGTTGATGTTGGTGCTGGTAGTGGTATTTTGTCATTATTTGCTGCTCAGGTACACTCTGCTCTTTGATTAACTGGATATTTATAGAAATCGTTCGCTCTTTGTTCTGGCATACGTATTTTCTCCTCATCAACAGTCTTCTATTTATTTTCTGCCCCATATAGGCTGGTGCTAAACATGTTTATGCTGTGGAAGCATCTGAAATGGCAGAATATGCACGCAAGCTAATTGCAGGGAACCCATTACTGGGTCAAAGGATAACTGTGAGACTTTTGATGTCATTTTTAACTTTCCTGTCCTCTTTACTTATTATTCCTGTCTCTAATGGGGCCATATGTCATCTACATATAGGTAATCAAAGGTAAAGTCGAGGAGGTTGAATTGCCTGAGAAAGCAGATATCCTTATCTCGGAGCCAATGGGTAAGCCTTTATATATTTTCTTTAGACATTCATGAGCATGTTGTCCTGCTCTTGTTGATGTTAAACTCATATTTTTCTACCTCTGCTTTTGTTCTATTTTTGGCAACATCTGCTCTAATGATACTATGCCTAATATAACATTTTGTCTGTCATGGCTTTAGGCACCTTGTTAATTAATGAAAGAATGCTGGAAACCTATGTGATTGCAAGGGATCGGTTTCTTCAGCCAAATGGAAAAATGTTCCCCACATTGGGAAGGTAAAAACCTATATTTTTTACAGCTTACATACTGAACTCTAATTCCACCATGAAGCAGTGAAATTGATTGGTGCCTACATCAAAATATCAACTTTAGTTTATCCGGAAAAAAAAAAAAAAAATCAGCTTTCGCCTTTTTATTTTCTTAGACAATAGATCTGTTCCCAGCAATAAAAATTTTATCAGTTCAGATCAGGACTAAATTCTTGCAGTGCTTTAGTCACTATTCATGACAAAATATTCTATATACCTACATGTTGCCTGATCATGTTATTTTTCTCTTGGGTTTGGTGATGCAATATGAGATTCTTTCATTTATATCTTTTCCTTTTGTTTTTCTCATAAATTCAAGTTGATTACTCCTGCAGGATTCACATGGCACCTTTCAGTGATGAATATTTGTTTGTTGAAATTGCAAATAAGGTGCGTATGTCGTCATCATTTTCCGTTAATTTATACAAGGATTGACATTATGCATGGATAACCATTAACATGTAACCTACGAGCCATGTATAGTGCAGCTGGTCTAAAGGAATATTAGATCGGTGTTATGAACGTATAGCACACTCACTTTCCTCCCTTGTTTGATGTATATTAATGTTCTTGTTTTGCATGTATACAGGCCCTCTTCTGGCAGCAACCAAATTATTATGGTGTTGATTTGCAACCATTGTATGGATCTGCATTCCAGGGATATTTTTCACAGGTCTAATATTTCTTATAGATTCCTAAAAAATATTGCATTCATTTATTGGTTGACGAAAGCGTATTGTCTGCAACAGATATTATGTGCGCACATTGAGATATTGATCTGGTTTTGCAACCGTGATTCACATGTCTAGGGTAAATAAGGTCTCGAGTAATAGAAGTTTATCCTTTTTTTTAGATTTACTTTCGAAATTTATATCAAAATTTTGTTGTAGGATTTCCTGGTATCTTCCTATCTCCTATTCCACGAAATTAGGCTTTTGAAGAAAAGAGGATTTTGAAATGAACATTGCATTTGTTGCTTGCGATAGGCTTGTTTTGGACCAATTGTAGGGACTGGTCTGGATAGGCTTGGCTTGTTTTGGATTGGGCTTATTTATGGCCCACCTTTTAAATGGCTTAAAATGAGCCCTGTTAGTGAAGGTGTAATGGTAATTAATCCAGTTCTTAAATAGCACCTAGTTTGGCCCAACTTAGATTGGGGTTAAATAACCCGATCCCAGTTCTTGTCCGGTTTGTTTAACCAAACCCTTAGAGGACAAACCAAGTCAAACTTAACGTGTTAAACTCTTGGCGTGCTCTTCACATGTTAAACTTGACATGTTAAACTCTCTGCATTTCCCATTCTTTCTTATCCGGTTAAACTCTTGGCACGCTCTTCACTGTCCATGATCTTGTGAAATAAGGGGTAGCTACAACCCTATGCCATCACAATTAAAGTACCTTGTTCCTTTTTAGTTGATTGGTATAATGTATGGATTTGCTTAGGCCTTGGAGCGACGGGTTTATGAATCCAATGGACATATGGCACATCGGTATTTGTATGACCAAGGCTTTTCCAATTCCCTTAGACTGATATGGCTGAATTGCCTTGTTGGGTGACCGTTTAGCACTTCAATGTTTTAAGATTATGTCTACAAAATGTTTGATTGGTGGTTGTTTTGGTTGCTCTGATTTGGTGATGTGCTGAATTATTCTGTTTTATTCTGGTACAGCCAGTGGTAGATGCTTTTGATCCAAGATTACTGGTGGCTCCTTCAATGTCTCATGTGATTGACTTTACCAAAATAAGCGAAGAGGACTTGTATGAAATTGATATACGCTACGGTTTACGGCTGCAGTAGGCACTAGAGTGCATGGGTTAGCATGCTGGTTCGATGTCTTGTTTGATGGGAGGTAATCATCTGAATCAATGAATCAATGATCTTGTGGAATCAATATAATCTTCTGCATTTCATTTACAACTACAGATTTGTGGGTCTCATAACTGCTTTAACATTGCTTACTTACAGTACCGTACAAAGGTGGCTTACCACCGCACCTGGTGCACCAACCACCCATTGGTACCAATTACGTTGCGTTCTCGCTCAGCCAATTTATGTGATGGCAGGACAAGAAATCACTGGCCGACTCCACATGGTTGCCCACAATGCTCAAAGTTACACAATGTATCTCACATTGGCAGGTCAATGTCTAATATAACACTTGTTTTGGCTTCGGATTTCTTTTTTCCAGTTTTCTAACGAGTTTATGGTTTCACTCTTCAGCTAAAATGTGGGGCCCTGGTGCCGAGCAAGGAGGAATAATTCAGCAATCTTCTTGTAAACTTGATCTCAAAGAGCCCTACTATAGAATGTCCCAACCGCAAGCGTACACAATTGCCCAAGATCCGCAACCACATCAGCAAATACAGACGCAGGTAAGGGGCTATCACTGTCAACTGGACCCTATCCTTCTAATTTATTTGAATTATTGTTTTTCGGGTTAAAGCATAATGATTAACTAAATCACCAGGGCCTCTATGTGCACATAAAAAAGTATACAGGTTTTGTCCTGCAAACGTTTACTAGAAAAAACGCCGTTGCTCTGCATGTCAAGAGCGAATGCTAACGCAGTTTATGTTGTTACAGGATATACCCATTCATTCCCAGGATTTGGATGATTCTGAATTTTTTCCACAACCACCATCACCAACTTCAGGGACAAAGATCTTACTGGAAGAGTTTGCCAAATCCGCGGGGGCTTGGAAGAACGTTTGATCTCTGTTTGTTTGTAACATAAACTGTTTTAACTCTAGCAAGTGCTAGGGATCCCTGTTAGTCGTCCACCGCATCCCGTTTAACTGGTATCTCACTTCCTCCATGTCTTAGTGTTTAACCCCTGTAAATTAGATATTCATTTGAGTGGCTTGTGCAGCAGAGTTATGCAAATTTTATCTTGCTTTCACCAGCTTATGAATGAGACTCGGGTCTGTTTTCTAGGCGATCGACCACCTGCAGATACGCTTCCTAACCGGTTATGTCAATTTGAAATGCCGAGGTACCAGGAGTGGCTCCGTTGCGAGTTCAAGGCTCGGACAACCTGTTCTATCCACTATGGCTGCTTCCCCGAACATAGTTTGTTCAACGTTAGGTCATAGACTCGACAAATTAAGGATGCATGCTTACGTACCAATTTAATTTCATGGTACGTATCACTTATTGATGCAGGGCGCAGCGGATAGAAACGAAATAAAACGAAAAGGAAAACTGATATATGGGGTCCATTATCTCCTAGTGCAAGGAGAGACCTGAAATTCCCAAATCTCGTCTCTAGTACCAGCTTACAACGTAGACACTAGAAGAACAAAGCATAACAATCTCACAAAGAGAAAGGCACAAACTGAGAACCAAATCTCTTTGAATATTTCATTCACCAACAAAAATGCCCAACCCTCATCTTACAGCAAGAAATGGTTTTTATAACCATTTTGTAATTTACATTTAGAAATTGAAAGACAATATGATTAAATTGACATAAAACTGAATTAAAGTCGCATAAAACTGAAAATTACATAACTAAAGTAATGATATCAGCCATAAAACATCCTGGAAGTAAACTGATTAGCCTATATGTATTAAACCACCCTCTTTATTCCACCAAATAAATTTATCTTCCAATACTTTATTGTGCTCCATGCCAAATGAATCTTTTATTTCCCATCCTGCATCATTCTCCCCTTTTCGATGAAAACTCGTCCTCGAGTTTTGTTTGTAAGAACAAGTATCCAAACCGCAAGGTGCTGCAACCATTTTGCCTTGCCTTGCTTTGTTTTCTTTTTCACACTTACAAACATATTCTTTGCATAGAATATACAGAGGTTAGCCTTCTCTTAGAATCGAACTATAGCGTCAGGATATGAACAGAATGCATCAATATTAAAAACTTTTAGCCATCTCATTTTTATGTGCCTTTCTCTTGCTTAAGAGTTTGTTGCTTTGTTCTTTCTAGTGTCTACGTTGTAGGCTAGAACCAAAGTTTATAGGGTATTCAGACCTCTCCTCGCATAAGAAGATACTGGACCCTACCTATCAATCCTATCTGTCATTTTATTCGTTTTTATCCGCTGCACCCTGCATCAGTTGGTATCACAACGTCAGCTCGATCCAAAGGTGATGCTATATTCACCATGTCGCAGATGCCATTAGATGAAGATCTTAATCTGGACCTTTCTCCAATATTTGATCATTGCTTGGAGAGTTCATGTCCAATATATTGTGAAAATTATTCAGGTGATTGTCTCGTAAATCTTGATCTTCCTCCCGAGTTTGATCGTTCTCCATATGGTACTTATCACGTTTGCTGTCAAAGTTCTTGTGTGGTTCAACGAAATGTTGATATGGAATCTTGTCTAATTATTAAAAAAGCTGATTACAAAGAGTTTGTGAAGTTGAAGTTTCATGATTTAATGATGTTTATACCATATTTAGGGCCTCGTATATTTGGGCCTTGGGCCTTGTATTTGGGCCTCACACTAAAGCCCATACTTTGTAAAAGAGGAGGAGCCCCTTATTCTATAAAAGGGGACTCCTCCCCTCATTCTAGAAGAGGCAAAAGAGCCAAGCCTAAGAAGGCTAAGAGAAGCTCATTACATTCAGGAGAGACCTCACACCACCGAGGCTCTCCTCTCCCTTCTCTTCTTTCTCTGGGGGACTTCCCCCAAACACTTGTATCCATACACTTATAGAGAAACAGAATCAACTACAGTGTGGACGTAGCCCAAACATTGGGGTGAACCACGATACATCTTGTGTTATTTACATTTCATGCAGATTCACGGCCGGATTTACGTTGTACCAAGACCATTCGGTTTTGTGCATCAACATTTGGCGCCGTCTGTGGGAATCGACACAAAAAACTATGTCGGTTTTTTTTTTATTTTTTCACCTCCATCGTGAATCTGCAAAAAATCCAACAACCCAAAACTTTCCCAGAAAAACCCAGGAAACCCAGAAAAGCCCATTTCTCTGGGTTGAAAAAAAAAACGACAGAGACAAAAGCAGCTTGATCTGTATCAAACTATAGAAGGTTGTTGAGATGGCATCATCAACAGCTTCCACAGGATGGTACAGAGGGAGAGTGAAGTTTGTCCCTTCAGGGGACTCCTTGGTCGTCATGGCCTTTACAGCCAACAATGGCTGCCCCACCAACGACTTCCGCTCTCTCTCCACCCACACGATCCAAACAAAACCCAACATTCACTGGATTTGGGCCTTCCCCTGAAAATCTGCAAAGCTCCCAACAGTGACGCTTTTGTATGCGCCAGACCGACAGAGGGATTGAGAGAGAATCCCAAAACTGAAAAAATGGCAGAGATAACCCACCAGCTTCAGGCCGCGAAGCACAAGTCCGGCAAGTCCTGCAGCCATATGTTCTTTAACCAGGACCACCGTTGTTTCTCCGTCGCCACGGATTCCGGCTTCCATGTCCTTCTCTGCAACTTTTTCAACACCTTTACAGATTTGGGAAAATAAGCTCGAATTTTTCAGCTTAATGCCCTCCCATGGCGTGCTGGATCAAATCTTCACTCGGGTCTCTTAAATCGGCATTTTTTCTGAAATAGGTTGTCTTTCCAATCGGAGAATTTTAATGGGGTTCTGATCAAATCTCGATCTTTGGGTGTCTATGCTAGAGCAGCTACAGAAAGATCCCTACATCTCTTTCATATCCCTGTATTAAGTCTAAATTATAAGGATTTGAAAGGTATCTGAAGGAGAGGAAACATTGGAGCCCCTCTTGCAGCTTTCCAGATCAACCAAGAGAAACTTGTCCGTATGCTTGGTAATGTTCAAGCTATGGCGCCTCTGCAAGCTGTATGAGGTGGGTAAAATGACTCCACGTTCGACCTTCTGAGACCGCCGCCAGAGGCGCTGAAGTCCACCGAAGATTTCGAATCTCCAGTGATTTCATGCCAGCGAAACTAGTTGTGGAGTTCGATCGATTTGAACGAGTACAAGGTGTACAAGATCGAGTCAGTCGGTGAGTCCGCCAGGAAAGCGACCGCCGACGCGTCGACTCAGACCGACGAAAAACAGCACCGACGTCGTGTTGTTCGAGACGAGCACGAGGAAAAAGGTCAAGGTCAAAGTCAGCGCAAGGTAATTCAGATTCAGAGTCAGAGTCGAGCCCCGAAACGTTCGAGTCGCTGATCAAGACGGATGGGTCTGCACGAACGGGGCGAACAAGGAGGAGACAGTGAACCAGACGGCTAAGATCTGTCCAACTGGGAAGATGAAGGCGTCAACGGTCTTGATGCAATTGTTATCGTGCGACTCGATCTCGTTCAGGGACTGCGGATCCACGGCGGTGAGGGAGCAGGTGTTCTCGCTGATTGGGCATTACAAGCCTAGGCTACCATGGGGCGTGACCGGAAATCAGATAGGAGTGCGCAGCTGCAATTGGAGGAAATAGAGAACTTGAGTGCCATCTGCACTCTGCAAAGTAAAAGCAAAAGCTAAAAGAGAAAGATTATACTTTTGCTTTTGTCGACGGATGCATGTTCCTTTTTTTTTTTAAAACCAGAGAAAAGCAAATGGGCGATGTCGGAAAGGCTGTCCAAAGCAGCTGTCATTTTAGAGAAAATAGGAAAGAGAAAGAAAAACAATCAAGTGAGTTGCGACATAAAAGCAAAAGATAGAGACGCAGTGGAAAAAAAAAAAAAAAAAAAAAAAAAAAAAAAAAAAAAGCAAAAGATCTTCCTATTATTATGATTCTTTCTGTCTGCCAGATGAAGAGAAAGAGAGAATGCTGTAGAAAAACACAAGCAAAAGCAAGGACCCGTACTGCAAAAGCAAGGAATAAACACCCCACCAGAGTGATGTGGTTTACTTTCCTTATTTTTAAATGATGTAATCTATTTTTCGTATCTTTCGGAAACATCTGTATAAACCCCATCAGAGGGTAATATGTATAAACCCCATCAGAGGGTAAAAAAAAAAAAAAAAAAAAAAAAAAAAAAAAAAAAAGGCAAAGCCCAAAATAAATGGGCTGGCATGTTGTGGAGGGCGAAGGCCCATAAGCCCAAAAAAAAAAAAAGCTCCAACCAGGCGATCAAAAGTACGCCTAGTACTCCAAATTATACATGAACACTACTCATGTCATTCATACATAAACATTCATGAACATCACTCATGTCAATCATACATAAACATTCATGAGCATCACTCATGTCAACATCCATGAGCATCACTCATGTCAATCAACATAAACATCCATAAGCATCACTCATGTCAACATCCATGAGCATCACTCATGTCAATCAACATAAACATGCATGAGCATCACTCATGTCAAATCAGCTTCAAAGACTTCATTTACAAGAGCTATAGCTTCAAAAGCTTCATTTACAGAGCTCTAGCTTCAAAAGCTTCATTCACAAGAGCTCTAGCTTCAAAAGCTTCATTTACAGAGCTCTAGCTTCAAAAGCTTCATTCACAAGAGCTCTAGCTTCAAAGACTTCATTTACAAAGCTCTAGCTTTCAAAGACTTCATTTACAAAGCTCTAGCTTTCAAAGACTTCATTTACAGAGCTCTAGCTTCAAAAGCTTCATTTACAAAAGCTCTAGCTTTAAAAGCTTCATCTACAAAGCTTCACCATCAAAGCTTCACCTCGAAAGCTTCATCTACAAAGCTTCATCTACAAAGCTTCACCCAGAAAGCTTCATCTACAAAGCTTCAAAGCTTCACCATCAAAGCTTCACCTCGAAAGCTTCATCTACAAAGCTTCACCCAGAAAGCTTCATCTACAAAGCTTCACCATCAAAGCTTCACCCAGAAAGCTTCATCTACAAAGCTTCACCATCAAAGCTTCACCCAGAAAGCTTCATCTACAAAGCTTCACCTACGTAGCTTCACCCAGAAAGCTTCACCATCAAAACTTCACCTAGAAAGCTTCATCTACAAAGCTTCAC